CCAGTTTTCTGCTTTGGCCAGGTACTTATTTCTTCTCTTGATCTCTTATGTTACTAGATGCGTGTCATTTCTATACCTGTCAACTTCATTTTGTTTGTTCTTTTGTTTTTGTTTTACATTGACGTATTCTTTTCTTAAGTTGAAGATAACTATCCTTTTTGGTATAACTTTGACACAGTCAGATATCTACAAGTGGTGGAAACCTGGTGGAAAGTTCTTTCTGAAATTTTCTAGGGCTATCAAGTTCACCCCAATATATTTTTGGGGTATTTTCGGGTGAGTGTTTCTTTTGTGTCAATTTGCAATATGCCCTGTTCATTCTCCTTGAATTTGAACCTGTACAATTGACTGAAAATTTAAGATGTTGAACTATGCCTTCCACATTCACAATGCTATCTACACACATTATTGACTACAAAAGCAATTGGCATCTAATATAGAAACAATGGTAAAAATGAGGTCAGGTTTTGTTGGAAATAAGCTTAAACTATTTGCTAAAAATATGACTGGAAAAGTTGGATTCCATTGATGCAGTTCAGGATGTATGCCTTAATGCCTTTTCCGATCTACTATCACTAATATTAACTGGCAAGCTCTTTTTCTTGGAAACTTTTTCATTCAGAATAATTGATTTGAGTAGAGTAGCCAATTATTATTGTACACAACCAGAGTCTAAACTATAGTTAGCTTGGAAGTTAGTTCATCTCTAAAATTTTTTTATTAACAAATCATCTCATCTCCTTATTCAGATCCCCAATACCGTTCAGGCGTCCAATGCATGTTGTGGTGGGTAGGCCAATTGAACTCAAGAAAAATCCAGAACCAACCAGGGAGGAGGTATGCATTATCTTAAAGCCTTTTTATGTTAAATAGGATTCACATGGATCCAGTAGTTAGAATCTCTCCTAAGTTAAGATGCCTCAATTTTATTTCTCGATAACTAATTTTTCACAATGGTGGTTAAGGAAATTTGGAGTAGTTCTAAAAGAAATTCCATGTCTTATTCTTGGCGATGAGTAACGTGCAATATACTTTCATAATCAAGAACCAATTACAAAAATGTAAATGTGATAATCGGCGACAAACTGTTTCTAGACGAGAGAATTGTAGTTAGTGTATCATGGATATATGCAAATGCTGATGGTTTAGCTGGCCAACATACTGGTTTCTTACATTTATTCAAACCTGCTTTTAGGTTGCCAAGATACATAGTCAGTTTGTGGAAGCACTTCAAGATCTCTTCGAAAGGCACAAAGCTCAGGCTGGCTATCCCAACCTTGAGTTAAGAATTGTTTGATAAGGCCTTAACATCGCCTATGTATTTCATTGGTTTATTAATGTGTTTTCTTTTAGCATCTTTTTTAAGGATGGGGGTTGGTCTATGTAATTGGGTTATGTATTGCACGCACTAATAGAAGACCACCACCCTGCGGGGTAGTTGTATAGAAGTAACAATGCGAATGAGGTGGTGGTGACCTCCATTGCACTTAGGTGCAGCCTACATAATTTGTTCCTGTGGCGGCCTGCGATCACGCCTTCCCCTTGAAAAAAAAGAAAGAAAAAGTGGTGGTATCTTTGTTCAGGTTTATCTATTATTTCAGTATAATATACTGAATGTTTGAAAAAAAATCCTGATGTAATGGTTGATTTGTGTAAAAAATATAATGGCTGACTTTGCTTTCATCTGACTGTCTAAGGTTACAAGTTGGTGTTGCACAGTCACACTAAGAAACTCCATACCATTGAGAATCAAATGGTTAATAAAATTTAGCTTAGACTAATTGACCAGGAAAATCTGAATTCAAATTCTTATTGGAATAATGATTTGTCAGATTTTATTTATCACTGGATTGAGTTCTAGATTATCAAACATGCAATTGATAGATTTGAAGAATATTTTAGAGTCTGTTTATTTGGAGAGAATAATTTTTATTTTTTATTTTTTGAAATTTGTGTTCACTTTAATTTGAAGAAAGACCCTTAAAAGTGAAATGTTATGATAGGGAGAAGATGAAATTCTAATTAGAGATGGTGCATTTTAAAAAATAAGGAAAATAATGTTTTTACATTTTTATTGTTTTCAGAAAGTGCTGGCAACTGTTCACTTTAGTATTCTTTTATCTCAGTTATCAACTAAAATTAATAGAAGATTTGTCCATCCGCATGAATAAAGTTAATGAAAATATTAAGCATATAAGGATCAGAACATAGATACAAATTGTCCATAAGTCAATAACTATTTCGTCATTAAGAGATATATTTATGAATTTTTTTACTTAGAGCTAACTGAGTATGTAGTTTTAAGCTACTGATTCCTTTTGTACTACTCGGTTGAAGTTTCTCTTGTATCCCCTGTTTATAAATCATTTGAATCTAGGTGAAATCATAATTTTAAATTGTGAAGAAAAAACAATTTTAAAATATGAAGAAAAAATAAGTTGTTATTAAAAATTAATTTAAACATTCAATTTGTTAATAAAATTATTAATTAATATTAATTGAATTATCTTATATTTTTGCTTATTGTATAATTTTAGAACTTTGTCTTTCTCTACGTCAGAAAATAAGCATACAAAGTTCAAATTCAAACACTAACCTCTATTTTTTTTCGTATCAATATAACTAAAGCATTTTAAATACTACGATTGTCGTCATATAGTTTATAAAATTAATCTCATTAATTATTATTTGATTTTCATTATTATAAAGTATAAAATTGAAAATAATAATTTATGAATGATGGACATGGTATCACCATGATTTGAATGTTTATTTTAAAAAAATTAATTGTTTGAAAACACTCAGCAAATACAACTTCTAACTGAATTTGTTTTCAAGTAGTTTAGTTTTTATAATCATACACATTTAATATGAAAAAGTAAAAAAAAAAAAACATTAGTTTAAACTTATGTATAAACGTTTTTGTAGCTATTTCTTAAAATATACTATAGGACTGTATTTAATACTTTTTATTAGAACATATTTTAGAACTTTATTGAAACATTTTACTCTAAATATAAAATTTATTTAAAATATTTAAATTTCAATAATTTATTGCATGTTCTTAACATGGATAGTCTATTTAAAAAAGCCATAAAGACAACAAACTATTCATAAGCTGCTACAACTATTACTCCAATAAGCTGCTACTGTAACTAAGCTGCTGCAATTATGCTTCCTATAAGGTTTAGAGATAACTTTGGCCAAGACTGCAACCATTCAAAACAATTTTGCATTACATACTTAATTACGTGATTCTTAGAGAGGAAGTTAACCATACATGAAACTTAACTTTTTCTTTTCTCAAGCTGCTACTGACATAATATATAAAAAGAAACAAAAGTGAATTTTATAATCACTATAACATCTTTCTCACTCTCATTGAGTTCAAAAATGATACAAAAATGACAGCTTTAATGTAAAAGTTTTACACTTATGTGATTCATGATGCAGAGACTTTAGCAACAATGTCGTTTTCGTAATAAGTGCTTTGGAGGCCGTGGCGGAGCCAGGAAAATTATGAAGCCTGGGCAAGTTTTCATTGGTTTCATAATTTTCTACCAAGACAGTACAATGCTAATCCCAAAGGAATTATTTCCTTAAATTGCAATTACCTCTTCAATTTGTAAGATTTCGGATTTTATAATATATACATGTTAAAATTCCGGATTCTATAACATATACATGTTACAGTATTTCAGGTGTGCTCACAAAATGAATAAACCTATAAAAGCCGAGAAAATTAGTTCAACACGCTCATTTGTGTGAAATTAAGTACTGCCTAAAAACACCGCTATCAATTCAAATTTCAAATAATGTTGTCAAATGCAGATCGGCGAAGTGGTGGTTTGTTAAAATTCCGATATGCTACAATGTTGTAGAGCCACTATTTGAGAACACATTATACTAAGTAGCATAACAAAAAACAATAGGGATGTGATCAAATTCCGCTACACTATAGTACAATAGCTATAACTGCTATTTAACAACAATGATTCCAAGATATGCCAATCTAAGTTATCAACAAATAAAAAATTATGATAACAAGCCATACCTTTCAATAGTTCCTCTGGAAAACCATGTGGCATCGCTTTCGTGCTCAGGCACAAGAACAATTGAATAACCAACCTTCGCCATTTGATCTTGAGCAACCTTCAAGTGGCAGTGAAAGGGGTTGAACAATCATAGAAAGTAATTTTTAATAAAATACATCATATAGTTTCATGACAGGGGCGATTTTGTTTTCATATAGCTTAATAAAAATATTCTCTTGCAATCATAGAAAGTAATAAAGATTTTATTTTCATAAAATATTGAATATGATAGTTAAGCTTCATGGCAGGCAGAGGTGGTTTCACCATCTGCTCAAATCATCATGACATCATATAGTTTCAATCTAAATAAAATAAAATTAAAAAGCATATGAATGAATAGAAAGAACAAGAGGCAGAAAAAAGAAGAGGAAAATAGTATGCCGAATAGATTAGTGCTTGAATATAATAAACTAAAACTAATTGAGAAAGAGAGGAGGAAGGAGTCTGTCGCCGTCGCGGAGAAGGGATTGGTGGTGATGCAGTTAGGTTTACTTTTGTTTTTGCCCTTTTTTTTTCTTTTTTTTTTTCTTTGAATTTTTTGCCTTTTTATATTTTTTAATTAAAATAAATTTGGGCCAGACTAAAGAGCCTGGGCAGTTGCCCAGGGTAACCGCATGCTAAAACCGTCTATGTTTGGAGGTCTTATGATCTTAATCACAAATTATGCTAAAGTTGAACCTAATATGAATGTGCTAAGAACATGAAATCCTGCACATGATGAGAAAACTCATAATTGATAGTGTAATAGGGGAAAAAGGCACCAAGAAATTGCAAAAATTATGAAGCATTAATATTAATATAAATTGATCGATCCAAAATTTATATAATATATGTAACAATTATGATGGAAATTTTTGCAATCAAACAACTTATAGAATTACTCCTTTGTTGTTCAATCAACCAAGATTAATTGATTATATCCTCCATAACCAAACACAATCTGCAGACCAAACAAAACTCTCATAAGGTCAATCAATGTATTTTACTTCATTTCCTATTTAATTCAACTAAAGAAAGATAACTAAAAAGCTGAAAGCTTCATAAGCAAACCTTTGTGCACATATACTTTGTGTGTTTGTAGTCCTTTGATTCCAGCTTACAGATATTGCATCATGTTTTGCTGTACGAAATCAGGATCCCAGGGCAGCATACTTGGCCTTCAACAAATTGATTGGCTTGGTCTTATGAGAGTTGAGAATGAAAATAAGAGTGAAAATAGGTTGATGTTAACATACGGTATCACTGTTGCATCAACAATAACGGAATGACTTAGACCATGTGCAATGGGTATGTTGAGTTTGAACTCAACATGCAAAATCTCCTCCAATGGGTGTTGAGAGAGGTGTTGAGTGTGTGTTGGAAGAGAGAGGTGTTGAGAAAACTCAACACAATTGAAAGGGAAAAGTGCAGCCACGTGGCTGTGCTTGATTGACTGACCAGATTTTTATCCATTTAATACTTTGAACTCAATTATTTCGTTGCAAATTAATTTTTTTTTTTTTTACCAAAATTCATGATTTTTTTTTCTCTATAAATAGAGACTTGGTTCATTTGATTTGGACACAAAAAAAAACTAAGTTTTTCACTATCTTAATTTTATTATTAGTGTTTATTTTGAAGTTAAATGTCTTTTTTTAGTGAAATGGATCCCAATAATCATTTTAACACTCAAAATTCTGCTAATTTTCCATTTAGTTGTGTGTTGTATTGCATTTTAAATTATTTGTAACGTACTAATTACGTTAATTATGTGTTGTATTTTAAATTAATTTAAGATGATTTGTATCGTATTCAATTATTTAAATAAATTTTGTTTTTATTACAAAAAATTAAAAAATAAATTATTAAGTATTTATTATTTTAATTTAATTTTAATCGATAATTGTAATTTTATGTAATCATAAAAATAAAAATAAAATTTAAATAAGAATATGAAAATAAAAAGTGGTGGGGTAGGGTGTTGAGTGAAAAACCATTGGAGAGGGTAAAAGTTGAATGGGTGTTGAGTTATTAGGTGGAAGAAAGAGAAAATGATGTGGAGTGTTAGGAGTTGAAAAAATGGGTGTTGAATTTTTCAACCATTGTAAATGGTCTTAGTAGCACAGATTTCAGTTCTGCAGAAGCTATCTGACACAAGCAGTCCATGTGTATAAATGAAAACCGAACCCGTTCCAATTACCAAACTCAACTTCATACTTTAGAACTAAAGGGATTTACTCAAACTATTAAAAATTGTCAATGTTGAAAACAGAAAATATTTAGGAGTACCTGAAACCTTTTATTCTTGATTAGCTTCTTTATCCGTCCAGCTATGTAGTCCATTCTCTTCAATATAACTAATACCACGTGTTTTCTGTTGGTGCACAAAGAAGAGATGAAAGACAAAAGAAATATATTTAATGACGACTACAAAAATAAAGAATAATGATTTACAATGAATTACATTGACTTATCTCACTAGGCTATTTATACACAAAATTATGGTATAATAAAATTCCAAATATCCTCTAACAAAGATATAAAAAGATCTAAAAGGATATTCCTAAAATATAAATTAATATATTAATATCTAAAAAAGATATTCCTAAAATATAAATTAATTCTAACATCATCCCTTAATTTATATTTACTCAAAACTGACAACACCAATTCCATCCTTCAAACTAAGAAATTGGTCAGTCTTGATAGTCTTTGTTAGAACATCTGTCAGCTACTTCTGGGTGCTACAATGCACAACTTCTAATATTCCATTCTGAACCTGACTCTTTAGAAAGTGATACTTGGTCTCAATGTGCTTGCTTCTCCCATGCAACACTGGGTTCTTGGCAAGATTGATTGCAGACTTGTTATCAATCATCAGCTTCAGAGGTTTATTTACCTCAATCTTCAAATCTTGCAGCAAGTTCAGAATCCACACAACTTGGCATGCAGTCAGAGCGCCTGCAATATATTCAGCTTCACAGGTTGACAGCGCAACGACATGTTGCTTCTTGAAACACCAAGAAATAGGACCTCCCAGAAATTTGAATAAGTACCCAGAAGTACTTTTTATGTCAACTTTATCTCCGCACCAAATCAGAATCAAAATAACTCAAGTTTTGATTCGATCTTTCTTCCAGACGGAAATAACACTCCATACTTTAGAGTTCCCTTCACATACCTCAGAATCCTGACAGCAGCTTGATAATGAAACCACTTTAGTTTACTCATAAATATTCTTACCATTCCAATTGCATAGCAAATATCAGGTCTGGTATTACACAAATACCTCATAGAACTAATCATCTATTTGAAGGTTGTAGCATCAACATCCTCTCCATCAGAATCAGATTCCAACTTCTGATTTGTATCAACATGTGTGATAGAAACTTTGCAATTCTCTAGCTTAAATCTCTTCAGAAGCTCAAGTTCATACTTCATCTGATGCAAAATGATTCCTTTCTCAGAGTACATAAATTTCATCCCTAGAAAGAAACTCATTTTTCCAAGATCTGTCATCTCAAACTCATTCATCAGAACCTTCTTGAACTCAGTTATCTCTTGTTGAGAACTTCCTGTGAGAAATATGTTATCAACATACAGACATACCCGAATCATATTACCTTATGAAGTATGCTGAACATAAACACCATACTCCATCTCACACTTCTGAAACCCCTGTCCCTTGAAAAATGAATCAATCTCCAAATTCCAAGCTTTGGGCGCTTGCTTCAATCCATACAAGAATTTGTGTAATTTGAACACCATCCCTTCCTGATTCTTTTTCTCAAATCTAAGAGGTTGTGATACATATACCTCTTCTTGTAATGGACCATTCAGAAATGCATATTTTACATCTAAGTACATCAGAGGCCAATTCATGTTAGTAGCTATTGCAATCACTAGTCTGATTATTTCATGTCTCGCTATAGGTGCAAACACTTCAGAGTAATCCAGCCCAGGCTTTTGTAGAAAGCCTCTTGATACTAATCTTACTTTGTGTTTGCCAATTGATCCATATGGCTTTAGCTTCTGCTTGAAAACTCATCTAACACTGATGGCTTTCTTGCCTTTTGAAAGTTCTGTCAGCTTCCAAGTCTTGTTTCTCTCTATAGCATCAAGTTCTTCTTTCATGGCCTGCAACCAGACTTGCTGCTTAAGAGCCTCTTTCGTGCTCATGGGTTCAGAGTCTACTAACATTGCATACTGAATAACTTCTCGTTCGGAGTCTACTTCAGTGTCTTGCAACATGTCAAACTCTGTAAATCTTCTTCGAATGCTTCTGACTCTTTGTTGCCTCTAAAATGGAACTTCAGGACCTTGGACACCAGAAATTTCCCCTTCAGAAGCTCTTGCTTCAGAATTTTAACTTTCTTCAGAACCTTGACTGTCTTTAGAGTCTAAAAAATTCCAAGAGTCTGAATCACCATCAGAGTCAGAGTCATAATCATCTTCTCTTTCTGCATCTTCTTCAGAGTTAGGGTCTTTACCAACTTCAAAAATATGTGTTTCTGACTTTTCTTCAGGAGTTCTCTCATCAGAGTCGGGACGAGACCTTTCCCAATTCCAAACTTCTGATTATTTTACAATTACGTCTCTTCTGAACTCAACTTTTTTAATTTTTGGACAATAAAGTTTGTACGAACCTGTACTGTGGCACCCCACCACTAACATTACTTTACTTCTATCATCCAATTTCTGTCTTCTGGAACATGTTTGTAAGATACAAAACTAAACACCTTCAGATGACTAACACTTTGCTTATCTCCAGTTCACTTCTGAATAAGAACTATTTCCTTCAATTTCTTTGTTGGACATCTGTTGAGCATATAACATACAGTGGAAACAGCTTCTCCCCAGAGTATGAGGAAGCTTCTCCTCTTTCAGCATGCTTCTGACCATATCAAGCAAAGTACGGTTTTTTCTTTCAACAAGACCATTGTGTTGAGGAGTATAGGGAGCAATATCCTTATGCTCAATTCCATTCTCCTCACAGAACCTTCTGAATTCTGTGGAGTTATATTCACCATCACCATCAGTTCTAAGAATCTTCAGAGTCTGGACACTCTAACTCTCAACCTTCAGTCTGAACTTCTTGAATTCAGCAAACACCTCGTGTTTGAACTTTATGAGAGATACCCATGTCATTCTAGTGAACTCATCAACAAATGACACAAAATATGTATTCCCTCCAATCGATTCTATTGGAAATGGACCACACACATCATAATGAACTACTCCCAAGGCATGCTTTGCTCTTGGAGCTACTTCTGATGTAAATAGTAATCTTGGTTGCTTCCCTTCCATGCACACCTTGCATGAATTCTCAGGCTTCTTGATTGTATGAATTCCATGTACCAGCTTCTTTGATTTTAGATGCCCTAAGCTTCTGAAATTCAGAAGACCAAATCTTCTATGCCATAACTCACTCTCCTTGACAACACTTGTTCCACTAAGACATTCATAGTCTACAGTTCTAACACTTATCTTGAATTTTCTGTTCCTTCCCTTTTCTGACTCCATAATCAGGTTCTGATTATAATCATACAACTTCAGAAGATTTTCCTTCATGGTAACCGAAAAGCCTTTCTCATTCAGTTGTCCCACACTCATCAGATTGCTTTTCATGTCAGGTACATACCACACATTTTGGATCAGTGTTGCTTTCCCATTATTTAGAATGACTCTGACATTTCCCATACCTTCTGCATTGAGGTATTTATCATCAACACATCTAATCTTTGTACTCTTCCTATAATCAAAATCAACCAACCATTTCTTGTTTCCAGTAAGATGGTTTGAACACTCTGTGTCCATATACCACCATTGTGATGAATTCATATTATCAGATTCATAAGCCAACAATAGCACATGTTCATCATCAAACTCTCCTCTGGCTATATTTTCTTCTTCTGACTTCGTTTCTTTGTTTAACCAGCAATCTTTGGCATAGTGACCAAAGTTCTTACAACAATAACACTGAACATTCTTCTTGTCAGCCTTCTCCTTTCCCTTCTGGACATTCTTCTGCCTATCAGAGTTTGAAGCTTCTGACCTTTGACCATCATTAGTTTTCTTCCTGGCTTCCGACCAAGTTTGCTTCTGATATTTCTTACCAGAAGTTACTTTTAGAGCCTGCTGCTCTACTTCCCTCTCATAAGTTCTCGCAGTCATACGTAACTCATGCGCCTCTAGACTACTTTGCATCTCTTAAACTCTCATGGTGCTCAGATCTTTGGAATGTTCAATTGCTACTACAATGTAATCAAACTGAGAAGTTAAATATCTCAAGATCTTCTCAATGATTACTTGTTCAGAAAGGGTTTCTCCACAAACTTTCATCTCATTATTGATCAGAATCACTCTAGATATGTATTCAGAAACCTTCTCGTTGTCCTTCATGTTGATATTCTCATATTGTTTTCTAAGAGACTGAAGCTTCACCTTCTTCACTGATGCGTCACCACCGTAACATCTAACTAGTGTATCCCACGCAGCCTTTGCCGTTTAAGAATCAACCGTCTTCTCAAACACATTCGCATCCACACATTGATGGATGTAGAACAACGCCTTCTGATCTTTTTTCCTTAATGCCTTCTGTGTTATCTTCTATGTCTCTATTGCGTCTGCTTCTAACAGATCATAGCCATCGGTGACAAGATCTAACACATCTTGAGAACCAAACAACACGTGCATCTGGATCTTCCAACGATTCTAGTTTTTGCCATTAAATACTGGAAGCTTGGAATAGATATCACCGTCGTTTTCGTTCATCTTCTACCTTGTGCAATTTATGCAGAAACTCAATAAAGCAGCGTTTCCCAAATTACACAAATTCAGAATATTGTAATTCTCAATCACACAATACTTTCCCCGTGGGTTTCGAACTAGAGCTCTGATACCAATTGTTGGTGTACAAAGATGAGATAAAAGGCAAAAGAAATATATTTAATGATGGGTACAAAAATAAGGAATAATGATTTACAATGAATTACATTGACCTACCTCACTAGGCTATTTATACACAAAATTAGGGCATAATAAAATCCTAAATATCCTCTAACAGAGATATAAAAAGATCTAAAAGGATATTCCTAAAATATAAATTAATATATTAATATCTAAAAAAGATAATATTAAAATAAAAATTAATTCTAACATTCTCGACCAACCTTGTGAATCATCTTTTGTAGCTATTGCACCCGTATTTCGTAGGAAATGAACTGGATCAGGAAGAAGGTAATGAACAAGAATATGAACCAGATCTGAAAATAACTATACATGAAATACATCAAAATAAGTTAAAATTTTCAAACCTTAAACCATATCAGTTTCGTCCACCGAGAGAATCATCCACGAAATCGTTCATCATCAAGACTTCATTATCTCACGCAACTTCACAATATTCAACCGTTCACGCTCGATCTGTGTCCTTGTTCATGCTCAGAAAAAAGATGCATTACTGAACAAATTTTTTCCATATAGAAAGGTATGAGGATTCAACGATGATAGAGTTTGAGGAGGAACAGAGAGAGAAAGGGGCAGAAGATAAATAAAGAGATGTGAAAGAGAGAGAAGGTGCCCAGTTTGAAATACGAAAGAGAGTGAAACTATTGCAAATGGGATAGGAAATATGTAGGTTGGGGTTTACCTTGTCAAGCTATTGAAGAAATCGAGTAATACATTGTTTCAAATATTAGGATTATGAATTTGAAATTTAGATGTCAGGGTATACAAAAGATAAAATCTAATTGATTTAGATTAATTGAATTAGTCAATTATCAGTATGGTCATTTATTAGTATCTCTCATTTTTAGTTAGGAAGTTGATTAATACAAAATTTAAGAAATAAAAACAAAATATTTTTTCAAAGTAAACTGGTGGAATTTTGGTAGTATGAGTATTCTTGGTTTAAACATATTTCTAGTTCATATAAAATCATAATTTTTTTCAATTAGTCCCGTAAAAGTATTTATTCAGTTTTAGATAACTCTTAAATAATTAAAAAGAGTCAGTCACTTCAATGATGAATTGAAATTGAGAATAAAAATATTATGAATTGAACTTGAGAATAAAAATATTTGACAGTTTTGATAAATAATAAAGAGAATTTCTTTTCCTACTTTGTCACCTTCTTCGAGACTCCTCGTGAAATGTAAAAAATGTCCCATATTGTTTGTTGGTGTGTTTTTGTTTTTCGTCTCCGTATCTTTATTTTTTGTGAAAAGTTTTAAATGTTGAATTCCATTTGGTTTTAGTCCATGAGGTCAGTGCTCTGTTAAAAAAGGCAAGGTGAACAACGATGCTGACACAACTTTAATTTTTAAAGTTTCAATTAATGAATAAGATGGTGACATGGATTATGTAGTTTGGTGGTTTTAAAAGGAAGGAGCAAATCCAAAAAAAGTGATATTACAAAATTATCTTCTTCCTCATTCCAACATTATTTTCTTCTTTCCTCCATTTCCCCACATTGAAGCATGTCTAATTCATGTGTTAGGAACTCAATCTCATTTCAAATCCCAGAATATGGTTGCAATAGATCAATGAGTATGTTCATAAAATCAATTTCAATGAAAATCCTATATATACTTCATTTTCTATGCAAATGTCAGAGATAATCCTATCATAATTCCAATTATTTATTTCAAACTCTCTTGAAAAACATCTACCTTAGCTTGAGATGCATCAAATGCATATTCAAGATAATCATGAATTACATCTCTTCCAAGTGGTAGAGATCTTTTCTCACCCACGATGTTCTCAAGACCATTTCATCATTATCCACGGGCTTTGCATTAGCGTAGAATTCCCTTATTACGCCTTAGTAAATTTCATCTAGGACCTTTGCTAACACATACCACCCTCTATTGTCAATTTCTTGCACACAATTCGAGAAATATCTCGGATCTTCCAGGTGTACTCTCCTTTTAGTAATCATTTGTCTATTTCTTAACTGATGATAGACATCCTCGTGATAAGGGCTTTTAAACCGGCCACGATTATATGGTGCTCTTGAATATTCTATCCCTGATTTCCTTTTTCTTTCAATGGTACATTTCTTTGGATCCATATGTAAAATTCATTGAACAACATATATTTTGAGAACTAGTGTTAGACAATTCAATGGTATACATCAAATTTAGCACCATTATCTCAATTGTGACATTTTGATTTTACTGGTTTTGCATTTCTTCTCTAGGCGAGGTTTCGAGCTTGCTTAGCATGAAAATTTGATCCATGTTGTGTTTTTCAACTTAAAGTGAATCTAACCAACACGAATTGAAGTTTTTTTTCTAAAAAGATATAAATGGTAAGATCATACATTTGGTACATTAACTTACATGCAAGAAGAGTGATTAAATTGACATACTTGGATTTGTTCTTGGAGTAGTTTGAGAGAGAATGACCTTGATGTTTTAAGTGTGTGCACTATGCTTGTTCAAGTTTTCTTCTTTATCTAAATTTGTTTAGTTCTGTTTTTAGCTTCAACCTTTTAAAGTATGACCATGCAAACTGTTCAAAATTGTAGTTTAAAGAGTGTGTCAAATGACATAACCCACTCTGGTACTTTTTATCTTTTGAATTCTTGCTAAGAGAACTTTAGCTGGCTAGGCGAGAGTTTGCACACTTTTTGCATTGGACGTGCTAGGTGAAACATAACTTAAGCCAAGTGTGCTCAGAGAGCCATTCTTTTGTCTGCCTTGGTACTTTGCTTTCATCATTGTGATTTTAAAAGAAATAACTAAAAAGAAAGACTATCTATGAAAAACTATAAAATATGGTTTGGTTGTATCCCAACAAGTGCTTGTTTAACATTAATAGCTTGACGACATTCAGTATCATGTAATACCTATTACCTTAAAACACGCCTTATGACCTTTGGTCCTGACCTTAACTCGACCTTTGTTGTCCACCAATATCATTGTAATCTTCATGAACGGTTGTCCCAGAATGAGAGGTATTTTTGGGATGGTCTCAATGTCTAGCACCATGAATCTACAATAAATGGAAACCTGTCAATATTTATAAGTACATATTTTATTCTTTCCACTGGCTTCCTGCAAGTTTTGTCTACCATATGTAGTGTTAATGTAGTTGGATCTCTCTCTCTCTCTCTCTCTCTCTCTCTCTCTCTCTCTCTCTCTCTCTCTCTCTCTCTCTCTCTCTCTCTCTCTCTCTCTCTCCCCAATCCTTTTCATCACCCATAACAATATTATATTTACACTTGCACATGTGTCAAAAAGTAAATTTGCAACTTCCATATTACCTACAGTGACAAATAATATGACTACTCAAGGGTTTACCTTATTCTTGGGTTGAGTTTGTTGGATGATTTCACAGTTTTCCTCCTGTGATTCTTCTTCCCCCTATCCTTATCATGCTTCCTCTTCCATGACTTTAACAACAATGTTTCAATTATCCTTAACTACACTACAATGCTTATTTTAATTTTTTCGGGTAGTAGCACTAAATGTAGGGTTTGTGATATCGCTATATATTTCCCTAATTGGACAACTTGTGTCTCAAGGGTTTTTATGGAGTTTTCAGTATTTTTATGGATGACCATAAACACCCGTATAAACTGATTAAGTAATTTCTTAACTTTGTTGTTTTATCTGGTTTTGGATATGCTTGTGTGTAATGCTGGAAAAAATTTCTATTGAATAGTCCAACTTCAAATCCCCATCCTTGATCAAAGTTGTTTCTTGGAAATTTATTTGTTAGATATTGCCTAGGCTTTTGTTGATTGCCTAAATAATGTACTTCTGCATCAGTTAGGGGAAAAATCTAGTTGAATGAGCTCCGCTGCATAGTTTACATAATGAAATATGCCTTTGTGGAGGTCTTCATGCATCTCCTTTAATTGTTGTGGAAGTTTAGACTACAATTTAGTAAGCTCATCCACCGTTTGTGTTAAGAACTTATTTTATGCCAGAATGACATCATTGATATTCAGATCAATGATACAACTCATTCTTTGAGCATGGTTTCTAATATGTTATCCATGATGATCACTGAGTACCATTCACTTAATGACTACAATTGCATCATCTGTGCTATTGGGTATTAAATAGCCTTGAACAATAGCATTTAGAAACAACTTTGGTTGTTATTGTAGCTTATTTTAGATGATATGAATCTTGTTATCTCATCAAAACTGTGATTTGTACATCTTTTAAGCATGGAATTGTACCTCTCCTAACCTTCATAGCATGTTTCAGATTCACATTGGGGAACACTGAAATGGTTGTCTTGGCTTCCATGAATTTGTCGTGAGGAAAAAATCTATTTAAAAACTTTCCTCCAATACATCCTAATTTTTTATTGTCAATGTTGGTTGTTCTAGTTACCACTCATTTTCTATGCTAGTTAGTGAATATGGAAACAATATTATAAATATAGCTTCCTTCTTAGTCTTTGAGGCATCTAGCGCCCCATAAATATTATAAAACTTTATAATGTGTGTGTACGGGTCTTAGTTGTTAGCATACAAACATTGTATCAATCTAGTTTTCAATTTTGTTTGACAGAAATCCCTTCATGGTCAAGTATGTGTGCTAGACGTCTTGAAATATTAAGGCGTGGCATGCCACCAATGTTAGTTCCATTATTGTTATTGTTGTTCTAATTGTTGTTATATGCTTCAACCATGTTTTCCTGTTTTAAGACAGAAGAATCTTTTAGATATAACAATCTAACTTTAAACTTTTCCTTTATGATATTTCATCTGGTTCTTTCAATTTCAGAATCAAACAAAAGTGGTTCTGTTGGATTCTTTCCTCGCATAAATAGTTAAAACTATATATATATATATATATATATATATATATATATATATATATATATATATATATATATATATATATATATATATATATATATATATATATATATATATATATATATATATATATATATATATATATATATATATATATATATATATATATATATATACACACACACACACACACACACATATATGTCAGGATCAAATGACACCAAAGTGTAAAACTTAGTAACATGACACCTCTGATAAATCTTTATCGAATATTCATATAATAAAATTCACCATTAGATTGGAAGATATTATCATATAGAGCATGTCTATAAAATTTTAACAAAAATCAGAAATAATTTGACATGTTAGCGAGATGCATAAAAACTAACGTCTTACAAAATTTCATGAAAACTGTTAATTTTTGTCATTCTCTTTAAATGATTTTTGAATGATGTGAAATTTTATAGACGTGATCTATATGATAATACCTTCTAATACAATGGTGGATTTTGTTGTACGAACATGGGATAAAGAGTTATCAAAGGTGTCATGTTACTAAGTTTGACACCTTGGTGTCATTGACCTTATATATATATATATATATATATATATATATATATATATATATATATATATATATATATATATATATATATATATATATATATATATATATATATATATATATATATATATATATATATATATATATATATATATATATATATATATATATATATATATATATATATATAAACTTAAATTGATGAAAAGTATTGTGATATCTTTAAAAACTAACGCCAATCACTGACAACAACACCGTTTTGTTGTGAGCATGTAGTTAGAAAGTGAAATATTATCTTATCCACAAAGGAATAGTTGTGCTTAAAGACAGTTTCAAGATTTTTTATGATCATAAGTAAGGGTTTAAAGTTATTTGGTTGCGGAAAAGTAAATGATAGACAATAAATGGAGATTTCGGTGTTCTAGTGTGCTTACTGGTATTTTAATTAAATCAAATCACAAATTTTAGTTTACTTAAGTGATTAAACTCGAAATAATTATATGGACAACTTGTGCAAAATAATTTGAAGAAAACATGTGTGCTTGAACGTTGATGTTTGAATATAAAGAAATTATATAAAAATTCCAATAGGAACTATACAATATTGTTCGAAGGGACATGATAAACAAAGAACACAAATAAAAGTGAAATAAATTGAATGCTTGGATTAACAAATTATTAAAGGGACACAAATTCACACATATTTCCTCACAAACTCGTTTCTCTCAGTGACTTGGATACTTTGAGTTCTATAAGGATTAATGATAAAATTTGTGAACCTTGATTACAACAATGAGATCAACTTAAATACTAAACATCAATAATCGTCGATAACTTACAACCCTGTAACTCGACATCTATTCCATTATGTGCACCTTGGTTCTTAATTTGCTTCCACGTGTATTTAGTCTTTGACTTGCTTCTAATTGCTACTCAAGTCGACACTTACTCTTATATCTTTTAAGTGCTTCCATAGAATACGTCTTCAAATCTCCTAACTGCCCATGTCGAATACGCAAGTCATTACAAACCTTTTTTGAGATTTTGAACAAGTTTTCATGAGTGATCCTAATCTTTTGGATATGTTCCTGAGATTTCTCTAAACCAAACTTTGTCGAGATATTAGGCCATTTAATCCATGGAATCCTGATTATGCTAAGTTTCACCACATTTGGTAGGCGAGTTGAGTTTGCCACCTTAGTCAAAATGATCAGTATGTCCAAACTCTAACCCGATCATCTTGTACTTAGCATTTTCACTCCTTTCTTGCACTTTTTATTTCTCAAATTGAAGTTCAAATTCTCGAGCTAAGACAGTGAGAAAACTTACTAAGGGTAGATTTCTTTATTGTATACTCATGTGTAATCATTGGTCAAAAATATGCTCTTCTACTCAAATATTAATATTATTATAGCGGTGAAAATCGGAGATCAAGATATTTAATTAACTTGACTCGCAAAAGCAAGAGTTGTCACCACGCTTTATTATTTCCAAGGGAAAAGAGAAAAGTGCAAAGTAAAACCCATAAATATGCAAAGTAAGTGCAATACTAAAAGTAAAGAAAAAATACAAATGCATTTGAAAGAAGAGATCGAAGGTTTGGGGGTTCGTTATATAAAGGGACTGTATTAGAATCCTATGTATCTATAGTATCCTATAAGAACCTTTTGGAATATCTATTTTTTTGGCTAAAATTAGTTTGCTTGCCAAATATTTGGTTTGAAGAAATTTTGAAAATGCAACGACCTATTGTCGAGGTTTTGGCTTGAAAAATATAAGTTTAAAAAAATTGATTTTTTAGGAGATTTAACTTAAAACTAAAAAAATGAATGAAGTGGGTTTCACAAAATCGTATTAAATATATTTGATGACATGAAGTCAACGAATTAATCCTTTTCCCTTGGAATTAATTGCAAACAAGATACACAAATTGAATAATCAAAAGAAATTTAAACAATTAACAATTAATGAAAGTTAGTTAATATTAAATATTAAATAAACACGATTAACCTAATTAATTATCAAATAGATTATTATACTAACAGTCAATTAAATAGAAACAAAAATGAAATGATAAAATACAATTAAGATTAGGTTTGGAAAAGTAGAACTAGGGATGCATTTAAACATAATCCATTGGGCCTTAAAAGTGGATAAAGGAATTACAAGAATAGAAATGATGCAATTAAAACACAAGTTATCTAAACTAAATTAAAATTCTAAGATTAAAATACAAACTCTAAAATTTACTAAATTAAATATAAACTAACTTAAATATAAACTAAATTAATCTTAAGATTATTGATTTAAATTTAAACTAAATTAATTATATAAAAAAGGGGTGTGAAACAGAAAACTAGAGGGGGGGGGGGGGGGGGGGGGGGGGGGGTTGGATAATAAACTCTACATTGAGTACAAGGCCCATCCAGAAGAGGCCCAAGAGTTGTCTTTTTTTTTTGTAAACAATTTCAAAGTAAAAAAAATTCAATGGGCCTTGGATGGCCCGACCAGCCCAATCAACAACATCCATCAACATTACTCAGCCCATGTTAGGATTATTGAATTAAATTAACAGA